CAACACAAGTTGCTGTTGAATTGATTCTGACTCATAGTAACCTCGTTTACATCCGATTACGATAGTCTCTCTCTCTCTACACACACACACACACATACCCTGAAACAAACCTATGCCCCCACAGTCAAAAATTCACATATAACTGTTGACTCCCCCAAACTTAACTAATAGCCTACTATTGAGCAAAAGCTTTGCCAATAGCACAATAGCATAAACACCTACTTTGTATGTTATGTGTATTAGATATATACTACATTCTTATAATAAAGTACGCTAGAGAGAAAAACTCATGCTGACCCGCTAGGACAGGGTGTAACTGGCCCTGCGGGTTCCGGGACTGCACTTCTCTACAGGCGTAGAGTGACTCCTCCTCCTCCCTCGGAGTAGCGGCTGGTTTTGAACTGCTGGCTTTTTTGGTCAGCAGCCCGATGTGTAATCACTGTGCCACCAGGGCTCCTCTGAATTAGAACATGACTCCCTGGCAGCGAGGGAGGGAGGGAGGAAGTGAAAAGATGGTATTAAAATCATTATGGAAAATTCATTTACAGTACTAATCTATATCTACTGATATTATGTTTACATCACCTATACTTGCTGAACAAATCAGCATATACATGGAATCTGTGCAGATCAAAACTGCATTGTCCAAAGGTCAATGACATATGAGACCAAAAAGTTTTGGGAAAATTCTATTTATCCATAAATTTTTTTATGCCTCTGTTGTGAGTATGTGTGTTTATATTTTACTGTACTTTGGGTGTGACTCATGTAAAGAGCTAGGATTCCAATCACTAAGTCATACAAAAATTGTTCTGTGACATTCAATGCAATTCCTACAATGTATCAGCACTCTCCCCTTTCCCTTCCTGGGTCCCCGTCTTCATGGACCCCGCTTTGCCCTCCCTTCCTGCCTCCTCATCTTTGGTTTCAGGCAAATATTGCCCTTTGGGTCTTATCTAGTTGATGAGTCAAAGAAGCATATTCTTCTTGGGTGTTATTAGATTTTATAGGACCACCTATTAATTAGAGCTGTCTGGTGGCACAATGGTTAAAATGCAAGGCTATTAATGTCGGCAGGCCAAACCCACCAGCTGCTCTCCTCCAGGAGAAAGATGTAGCTATTTGGTTATATAAATATTTAGAGCCTTGGAAAACCGGTGGGCAAGTTCTACTCTGTCCTACAGAGTTACTATGAACCCGGACCGGCTTGATGGCAATGGGGCTTGGGGTCCATTAACTGACTGAAGGTGACTTTCAGAGTGCCTTCCGTTTCAAGCTAAAACGTTGTCTTAGAATGACAGTCTCTTTCAAATCAATAATTATGGTCTTTTTAAAAACTACTGTTTGAATTTTGTTCTCTGTTTTTACGTGATATATTCCGTGTTCTAGATTAATCAGGGCCTCTGTTGTAATCCTGGGCGGAGTATCTAGAGTTGTAACTGGGCACCATCTAGATCTTCTGATTTCGGGTTAGAGGAGGCTGCGGTTCATCTGTGTATATATATACCCACCCTCTCATCGATTCTTCTGCACACTGCCCACGTTAATGAACTGTGCCCAGTG